TTCATTACGCATAGTCAAATTGATCAATAGATTTGAAATTACCCATCTATCACTAAGACACAAAGCATGATTATGTTGGTAGCGATTTCGCTAAAGATTTCACAGACCTAGTCATTCACCAGGTCACAAACAACCATCAAGTGTCTATCATCGACATTTACATATTTGGACTGCAGTGTGAATGGTCTCTCTGTTTAAATCGATTCAAAACTGAATGATGAAAAAAAACCTATTATATCAGGAATTGATTTTAATGTCAATAATAAACATAACAAGATAACAAGCATTAACAATAAATAACAAATTAATCAATGTCTCTTCAGTAGTCTCTGTCTTCGTTTAACCTTGGCGATTTCGGTCAGGGATCTTGTATTCTTGGAACGACTTCTTTTATTTCCGAACCATTTCTTGACTTGTTCTGTGTTCAGGCTGGAAACCTGTGCTAACCATTCTACTTGTGAAGCTGTTGGATATGGATGATCCAGATGACACTCGTACCATTCTTCAAGAACTTTGAGAGAGTTACGCGTTAATACAGGCCTAGTTCGCGTTATTGACGGTGAAGGTCTATCACGAGAAGAAAGTAATTTCAAACTGTATTCAACCCTGTCAATTATCTTGTTTAGTTGAGAGTCAAAATTCTGGTTATGGAAGTCCTTCATTGCATTTGACAGTTCGCCTTGAATGCAAGTTTACTTGCATTGATGAAAATATAACTTTTTTGTAAGTTTATACCAAATGTTAACACGATTCACTCCCAGAAATTTCAACCCAAAATGTAATGAATTTTTGCTAAAATATCATATGAAAAAATAATTTCAAAATAAGCTAATAATAGTAGTAATGTGTGTTCATTATCATGTTTATATTTTTATCAACAGTACCATTTTGAAGCTGACATTTTAATTCCCATAATACTGATTGCCTTTGAATAACAAAAGCCAAATTGTCACTATGAAATTCTAAAATTGTAAGTCAAAATAGCCTATGGCCAAAATAGGTTTTTGATTCTATCCAATGTATACTGCCTCAACTACCACCAAATACCACAATGAATTTTTTGCACCTGATCGGGCTAATAAAAACGAGCAAGGCCATGCAGTGTGCAAGGAAGAAAATTTTGCATGGACAGCGGCATCAGACAGTTTTTTTTTCAATTTCCCATTTTCATACACAGCCTTTTGGACACAGGAGCTCGGTTTATTGTCAGATCTGAACGACTAAACGCCCTTTCCATGTCATCTCCATTAACCTACTAGGCCTATATCACTGACAAGTGGAAACCGGGCTCAATTTCCACAGGCACTCCTTCAGAAGATTTTTCATTAATTTTGTTTTTTTATTGATCTTAATTGAAATGATCAATTTTCTATGTTTGTATGATGCTTATTTGTTACATAATCTCTTACATAATCCCTTTTTTCTAGAGATATCATACTAATATTGTTAATATTTTAAGGTAGGCCTACTAGTATAAAAACTACTGAATATTAAACAAATAAAAAAAGGGACTGGAGGATATCCAACAAGTTTCTGTGATAACAATGATAACTGCAAGAGAATCTAATCATATAAACTTTGATCATGTGAACCTTCAAGGCATTTTTATGGGTTTGTTCTTTTCATGATCAAAATTTTTATTGTAATTTGTGGGAAACAGCTAAGTTTGGTCACATTTTGAAAACTGAAGAAATAGTTTAGTTAAATCATGTTCACAAAAGAAAAGAACCATGTGAAGTACATAAATGTAAAAAGAAAACCTCCATTCAACTGATACCTTTTCCCACTGAGAGATATTTTAAAGATCGTGTTGCTTTGAAAAAGTGGACATCAATATTGTAAATCTGATAATGAACTTGGGTTACACACCAAGAGTAGCTTACAAAATTTATGCCCTACAACTCCCTCATTTCAGAGGCATTATAAAAAAAACCAAAATATAATGACCATTTAATACAGAATATAAATCAAATACATGTTTAGTGAAGTAATTTTATTGAAGGAACAGGCATAAAAACTGGAAAAAGAAGCTGATATGCACACTTACATAAATCATATCTGCTTACATCTGCACAAGAATGCATTTACATAATGCCTAGCCAATTTTGTAATATTGTCAATATTATTGGGGTATCTCCTTCACATTGACAATTCAACTCATTTACTTGATAATGTCAGATATATTAAAAGGTTAATTTTCTGATCAGCATTACCAGTTATTGCCAGTTTTCATGCATTCATATTTATGTCGCATGGTTCTGGCAATAGTGGATCTGATAAAGCTTGGACTCAATTATTGGCAGATATAAATTTTCACAATAATTTTTTTTTCGTGGGGAGATTGAACCACTTTAATTTTAAAAACAGATGAAGTATAGCACAGAGCCGCTTATTCACTTTTTGTGTCGTCCTTTTCCTCTCTTTTAACAACTCGTTGTGTAGTCGCACATTGCACTCACTTTCCAAGTAAAACCACTATCTAAAGAATTGTCTTGGTCAGTAGCTCATTAATAAAGTAATGACGTTTCAAATGTCAATTGTTTAAAAGGAAAAGCATACAAAAATCACGTAAAATGTATCAAAATAAGTTCCGAACTCCGCATCATTCTTTCCATTTAACACGGCGGCCATGTTGTTTATAATGGTAACGTCAGAAGTTTTCCCCTATGGCCTTTTGACCTGCACCGCCATATTGAAAATGACGTTAGTATTGGTACGAGTATACAAGATCCTTTTTTACACAGCAGAATATACGAAATGAATCAGACCACAACAGTTTACAGAAAATTATGTACCCCCTAACCTGTTCTCGGTTATGCATCTTTTGTGAGGTTTTCGTATTCAAATAGAAAAATTCGAATGGGTTGATCTATATAATATATTACTGCATTTATACGTAAATATCTGGTACAAAGACATCTGCAATGTAAAATTAGATTTTAACTTGGAACAATGATATTGGTTAAAACATAGAACTATAATATATAATATAATATACGCCAACTCGTCACTCGGTACACGACGTCATCGAAATATGTTCTACAGCGCATGCGCGAAAACTTAGCGGTAGTTTTTATTTCCGGTTGCTTGTCAAACAGCAACATGGCAGAAGCTAGTGGATCTTACCTTTACAATCTGAATGAATTGTGTAATGTAAGTAAAGTTTTCTTTTAGTTAAAATCTTTACAACAGGCAGCATTATAAAATGAGATTTCCAGCGATTGAATTTTATTTGTTTGGTTTTGCACTTGTTACCGTGTGCTTTTGTAGACATCAAGAAACATGTGTTGTTAATGTTACTAAAGATTGTAAACTTGTTGGACTGTTTTTTTTAGGATGATTGAATTTCTGAAGTATGCAGTAGGCCTACTACTCTGTACGTTGTCAATTCATAGCAGGTAAGTGTGTAAAAGAGATTTATGAACTGGTCATTGAAATAATGTGATAATCATAATTAATAGTCCCTAATGGCCTAATCATGAAAGGGCCTAAGATCAAAATAAATTATTCTTTTTAGATAAAAACCATAAATCTAACCAATCAAACATCTTGTTGAAATTGAAATTTATGATGGCCTGTACTCAAATTTAGAGAAAAAATTAGGCCTATTGTTTTCATTTTTCAATTTATCATCTGTTTCTTGATTTAAGAAAACTATTACCGGATAACAGATTACTTTAAAATAGTTATTGATTATATTTATTCATTTTCAATAAGTTTTTATTCTAAACAATTTGTATAGATCATTTATAAAAAAGTTTTTATTTTATTCAATAGGTAATGTTATGTGTGGGTAGTTCAATAGTACAATAGTCTGCATCTTATGCATTCTGAAAGAGTATCTTTTTCCATATTATTATATTGGTTTACATTTAAATCTTGCATAGAGACACCGCTATCTTTCCGGCGAATAATCCAATTTTAGGACCATGAATTCCGTCGATAAAATTCACTACGTGAATCGGGCGTAAAAATTATACGAAAAATTGCGCTCGTCTACCCCTAGAATAACGGGGATGAGATGTGTAATTAGTTCTACGTGTTTGTATTATTGTATTTCACTTAGCCCAAAGTCATAAAGGTAAACGCAAACCAACATAATTATACTTGTCTCTGGACAGTGATGTTGGATAAAGTTATTTCGATGGAATTCACATTTTCCACATTAGAATATTAACGAGCATATACTATTTTTTAATGCAATTGATAAAATCGAGTAAAAAATTGAAGAGTAAGAAAGGAAAACGATAACAATTTATTCCAAAACAACATATAACTACAACTATCCATAATAAAATGTGATTTGAATACGAATAGTACGGGTGTTGATACAAAAAACTGATTTTATATTTTGTAAGTCGGAACAATTATATAGGTATAAACCAAAAAGCTAACAAATAACAATAATTTATTAATAAAAAACGATGAAATGGGTGTCCTGCATGAAAGTAAAAATATTTGTTATAGCCCAGAACTTTCGACAACGATCTTGCCAAAAGAAACCACTTTCACTAAAAACCACGTAGTTATGTGGTCTATATGGTTAAGTGACACGTAATAAAGCTCTTTCTACGCAAACATTCGACATATAACAATGTTTATGACAACACGAAACTAATGAACTCATGATGATGAGATGTTTTTACTTTCTAAAATCGTGCCAATAGAAACATCACTGGTCTGCGGTCTACTTAGTTTGGAGATACAAAACATAGTTTTTTCTAGACAGGACATTTCCATGTAACAAATTTATGATTAAAGAAATATAATGAACTCATGTTGATGATATAGGTTTACGTTATGAAAAACAAACATTTATTATTATTATACATTCGACAACAATTGTTTTGTCGGAACAAACACCACTTTTTATATAAGTCTGCTTGAAGTCACTACTCCATTCTGATAACCTACAGATTTCAGAATATGAAATTTTAAATATATTACAATATTATTGCAGTGCTGGCTTAAGTATCAACAAGATACAATTATATTATTGCTCAATGTTTCTTATGGTTTACCCAATGTCTTTTTCTTGGTTCGGGTTTATAACACTCATGGTCACAACGACATTTTTTAATCCACATATAGTTCATAAATTCCCTTCGTCCACCGTGACACTCGAATTCTACTAGTCTTGTTCTTGTTTTATGTGGATAACAACAATGATTTTTCTTACAATTTGTACAGAATTTCAAATTATATTGTTTGACACTCCGACAATCTTGATATTGTATTCTTTGTCTAATTCCTCCCCTAGTTGTTGGAGTACATTTTTTCCTACCCTAAAATAGATAAAAGGTAATAATTTGTAGCCAATTAAACTGTCGCATCTGAGGAACGGATAGAGAGCCAGATATTTAAACACCAAAGTAATAAAACATTTTAAATCCTAGATAGAGAATCAATCAGTGGTTGTCATGTACTAGCTTCCAATAACAAACTCAATGCCAAAGATGTTCCGATTGCAATATTTGGTAGAGTAACATAATTATGATAGTGTTCTCGGGTGGACCACCAATCATGCCTACGGACGTTTGATTGTGTTACAGGTCATTGTGGCAAGTCTAAAATAGTGCCCCTATCCATGTTAGTTAGATAACATTTATTTCATCTTCAAAAGCAACCTTTATGCGAAGTTAGAACACTGTATAAGTATGAGTTCCCTGGTGCATAAATTTTAACGCATTATGATATCGTATATTTTCTATAAGTGATCAGGTACTATACCTCCAAAATCTAAACGTAGATAAAAAGCAGATGTTATTTAATACTGGAACATAACATTTTTTTAGTGTAACAATCAAAGGTGAACGAAAACACTTTTCTTGTTACTTCCCTTTTCACTTCGAATATTAGTCTGAGATACTTACGTATGTTCTTAGTTCCTTTATACATGGTCGCAAATAACACACTCTGCGTTCTTGGTGTGGCTTACAAAACTTATCTGATACGATTCTTACTGAAGTACCTACACCACAAGATTCTGAGCAGGCACTCCAATTCGATGGTGGTAGAGGACATTTGGTTTTCATGTATTCTACTCTTGGTTTCATTGTTGTTGGTTCTAAAAATAAGTACATTGTAGTTGTAAATTTGTGCATTCTATGATCCTCAAATGTTCTTACACACGTGGTGTGACGTTTGTGTATTTGATGCTTAGATCGTCCGATTTGCATTATGTACTATGGTATATTGTATGGGAAACCCTGAGAAACTTTCAGTATGAGAGCCACAGAAAGTCCTCAAGTAGTTTTGGAGTTAAGAGCATGATATTGCTTCTCAAAACACTTTTCTAAAGCGTCCTTGTCGGAAATCAAAGCAAGTAATTCGTTTGAAAATTAAAGATAGAAAAAAGAATATTATCAAACTTACTGACGATATTTTGAGGTTGCTGCAGAACCAGGTTTTGACTTTCTGGAATCATTGGAGAATCTCGAGCCCAACCTTTACGTTCATACCTATTATCACAGGTCCATTCTTTACAGCACTTCCCACTAACTGGTAGTAGAACTGGATTCAGACAATACATATCTGTTGGTTTCTTATCTTCTTGAGGACATCGATTAGCACAACCATAAAATCCATTCTGACAGGTACATGTCCTTTTACAATCTGGTTTAAATTCTTGGCCATCTTTATATGTTATACCATTAACTATACATGGCTTCTTCACTTTAGCTGGTAAATACACAATTTTGTTAGATTAAATTTTTAAAACACGATATAGTTTTTAGAGTCGTCTGGTGAAAGCATCCTAAATCAAATAAGATAAAGACGATAGAGTTTCAAGATAATTGCTGCATATCAAAGACCTGCTTCAATGACAGGTTAGACTTTCCGAAAGCACAATTTCGATCAATGCCGTTCTTGACTTTAAACTTCTTAGTATGGCAAGCCACCATTGTCAATGCAATAGAACAATGAGAAAGACATAGCATCTAGTGGTGCATTTTTCATTGTGCACAAAGAAGTTATTGTTAATGGGCGATCATGGACAGTAAAACGGTCAATGTATTCTGTCAATATCATAGAAATACACTTACCTTGACATACACCTGTTTTATTGTTTGACATGTGGCAATAAAGACCTGCATCAGAATCACATTTATCTTTGACACTGCACAGATCCCCTCTCTGTCTAGCACACATAAAACAACAGTTACACCCATCTTTTATATGGCGTACGCCTTCATTACATCGTAATTCCTGGACGGCACATTGACATGGATAGTGACATGATGCCGACTCCTAAAAATAGAAAGACAAATCAAACTTATTAAGAAATTTGAATTGTACACTGTACCATCATAATACGAAATGAATCAATCAGTTCTCTATATGTTTTATGTATCACATATTGCGTTTTGCTCTGACATCCACGCTTAGGATTTTAAAATTTGTTTTTATTCTAGGTGCTCATCATAGAGCATATCACCCGAAGATTTCCAGAAATATTCAATTTCATTTACTTTACCGAATGTGACAATATATTTCAATTTGGCGTTTGTGGTACTGCCAGCACTGCTTAATACACTTTATGCAAATACCTCATACGATAACTTTTTTTTCAATATATCTAGAAAACAAGATGACGTCAACTTCCAGTTTGTATTTCAAGATATTTATCAAACTGAAGTACATTTTCAAGTACTAATGAGTTATATATGGACATAATTGATTTTTTATCTGACGAAATGTATCTTTAGAAGTTAAATTATCCTTAAGATTTTTATCCCTGCTTAAAACCCCATTTGTTGTTCGCTCGAAGCAGTAAAAGATTGCCTTTTGAACGCATTGGAACTGGTGAAACACATCTGCCCACAATGTCTAAACCAGGGCTTAATCAAGAATATGTCCTTATAATGGATGTGATTTAGTTCTAAAAATCACCGAGTAGAGTCAATAATTTAGGAGAAATCCGAAACATCCTTTTAAAGGAAGATATTTAAATTGAAATAAGCCATTAGACCGAGAATAACAGACACTTAGAATCATTAAAGAATTGCTTTTCGTGATAAAGACTGTGCAATATCCTATTATGGATAAGTGCAAATAAACTCCAAACTCATTCATTTAACAGCTAAATATTTTTCAACGATCATCAATATCAATTCTAACGAAATGAACCGAGTAAGAAGATAGAAAAGTCCAGTGTCAATATTGAACTTGTCTTATATAACTTGATCCTTGTTAAAACATTGCTTTTTCAAGATTTGACTTTAATTCTCAGAATCTAATAACAATCAGCAATAACGAAGAGAGGCACAGATACGTCAATGGCATACATTATTGTGTCATTGATGTATTTTTCAACAGCATAACAATGATTGAAATTAAATGTGTTGCAAAGTAAAGAAGGGATTCAAAAACAACATAGAGGGATAAATATAAATATGATTTATCTATATTGTGACGATGATACACATTATATACTTAAATGTCAATTTAAATGTCAAACTACTTTAGTCCAAGAGAATTAGGGTTGACCTGCAAACCTTGGAACATGTTGATTTTCCAGGAGAAGTTCAGACAAGCAAGTGGAATCTTCAAGTTTTCTTCAAGTCCAAGAAGATTTTCCATATTACCCCGTTTCACGATCACAATGTCAATGTCTATTATCTTGATTTTTTAAGTCAGAAATATATTCTTCTAGCAGCCTTAAAGAATTGAATGATCTGACGTCTGCCATACCTGATTCTTGTTAAGTGTTAAAGTAATAACATTGCCTCTTAATGTTGTACTAATTTTATAATACCTAAGTACATTAACAGAAGATTGCAATATTTCATACAATTATCGATAATATGCTAATATATTATTAAAGCACCATTGAACAATAACGTATTGCTAATCACACACTGATATTTAATAATGTGTAAAGTGAATAGTTAATGTGTGTATGATTGTTTTACTAAAAAATATTGAATTGTTTATGAAACACTGCCTATCTAAAATGTATTAATGATTTTATCAGGTTTATTCTAAATAGAAAATAATTATCCCTAAATAAAAAGGAAATACAAAAATTGAAATCCAGTGAATTTTATGTCTTTTATTTAAACAGATAACGAGTGACGTCAATGTTGAATGACGATAAATCACCTCGTTGCACTTGGTGCGAAAAAAAAACAAACAAACAAAAAATTACACATTGCATTGTGAACTAAATACATAATATGATAAGATGGTCCTGTATGGAGATTTCTTGCAAATTAAGTTATTTTTTTCACCCTCACATCTGTTTCAAAACATTGTACCACTGATGGCTATTTTGGAAATGAACAAGATTAGGTGTACGCTGTCGGGTTCAGTGCGGAATTATTGAAACAGTAGATGAAGCGCTCGGGTTGGCATGGTATCCGGACATGTACCTCGTCTATTCGTTTTTTTTTATCTCCTATTGCATCGATGATTAGAATTAAATGAGTTTTAAGCAGTAAAGTGTATATGTGAACTTGTGGTGACATTTTCAATCAGCATATAATGTTGTAAAATAGGATACGAACAGGTTGTTTAGAATGAACTTCCATCAAGATACGTCAATGTTTATCTGATATAACACTAGTCTAGTCAGTCATCGACGAAACCATTAAAATCACCGTGGTATAATCACTTCTCTATTTTAATAACCTTTGTCATTTTATAGAGATTTTATACAACACCACAATTTGGTTAACTTGAGACACAGACACTCAAGAAACCTTCAGAACAATAGAGGTCTTCTTCTTATAAGCGAACTGTTTGTACTTTTACTGTTTGAGAACAAGATAATATAGTGTTGCATGATTTATTTTGGATTGTTTTTTAAACAAATGTCTTCAATTTGACCATTTACTCAGTAACCAACAGAAGTTTTGAACTACTGGTGTATGTTTTAAAACTAGCTAGTCCCGGTTGACTCTAGCAGCAGGATGCCCCGTGTTCTCAGAAACGTGAACATACTGTATGCATCATACTTGGTAAAATCATACTTATTGTTACATCAACTGATGTTTCTAATGCATATATACTCCTAATTATCAAGCTACCGACCGGCGATTTGAATCTTTCTTAAGTTGCTTAATATGGGTTAATCACTGTAATTTGAATAACGCGGACACACACAAAAAGAGATATACATTTTATTAACTCCGCAATCCTTTCAACATGATGGCTTTAGACTTGTTCATAGTGCTGCAGCTCATAAACATTGTCATAAACCGCGAGATACAGACCAGTAGAAGAGACCGATGAAAGGACATGCCAGTATATCTAGGTGAGGACTTTAAAATAAAAAATGCCAGATTTAAACAAAAACTAACCGTACTATTTGAATGTGGCCTAGTGTTTGCGTTGTTTTATCTTATACAGACAATCAAAAAGAAGGATGACTTCCAGCCTGTCATAAAGGCAATGAACCTGTAACCCAGTTAATGTCAAAGCTGTGAAATCAAGTTCAATACCTTCTGCAAATCTTTAGACCTTTCCCTGATGTAAATCTTCATCCTTCTGAAATCAATGCCTTACTAGAAAATTTGTTTTAACTTTTCCGCTCGAAGATAAGGATTGTTTACAAATCCAATTGGAATTTCGTTCTCGATAACAATGGCAAAACAAAGTTTATATAAAACACTGGTGTTAGTTACAAAAAAAGAAATATTGCATGATATAAATCGACGGACTTTACTCCCATTTCATAACACTCTTTTGTACGTTATTCCAAATACTGCTTTATTTTTCTTGAGCTCTGGAAGGAAATCAAGTAGAAATAGGCGAGGATAAAACTCTTTTAACATTGTTTATACAATACATTTTCTTCATTTCCTATTAGTTATTACTCAATAAGTTTTCATGTCTTCTAGTCACGGTTTTAGATGTAGCTTCTCGTGATATTTTCATTTCTCCTAAGATAATAACAAAGACTAGAACATGTTGACTTAAACCAGAAACCGGATACAGATAATATTTGGACAGAACCAGAGATGGCGTTAGTCAAGCACCAGATTTATAATTCATGGGTTCATAGAAGGGTTCCACGTATTCACCATCCAAAAAGCATCAAAAGCATAAAGAAAACAGCGCAATTAAATTAAACCTAATTCAAATTATTGTAGTTTAAGTCAAATCAGACACAGATTGTGAACTATTTAAGTCATTTAGAGAATCAAAACTCTAGATAATGAAATGAAGTTCTCTTGTAGAAAACTTTACCCCATCCAGTTGAAATTATTTTCAGTTATTGTCCTGTATGTTTGGAACACACACATTATGAAATTGTTCAACCACAAGATTCTGCGTTTGGTTCTTTATCATAGTAAAAACTGCAGTAATCAAACTTGCAAATGAATTTGATTTTTCTACTGAATTATTTGTTTAAATGAAAAATTATTATCAGATTTCAGTACCGTTACTGTTAAATAAATCGTCAGATTTACATTTTATTTTACTATATCTACTTTTCAAGTAAAAAATTCTTCTTAAGACTTCCACTCTGAGTGCTATGTCAATTGTCTCATATATAGCACTTAATACGTTTTCTAAAAGCTTTATGTTATTCTCAAGGGTCTTATAAAACATACTTCGCTTCTATATTTATATAATACTATGTTTTATCGATATATTAAATAATAATGATCTATTCTTCAGGTAAATTAGTATGGTATTATGGTGATAATTTACCCTCTTATTGATTGGTTCAAACCTCACAAAACATGGTATACAGAAATAACATTAATTGCCGATCATTCAAAACTATTTGTCTGTCAAGAATTCATTCAATTCGAAAATGAACAAGAAAATGCCATTTGACAAGAAACATATTTGCCGAGTCAAGGCTGGTGCATTTTTACAAGCTCAAAATAAAAAGGGGGTGGGTTCGCTATTTTCGGGGGTTGATTTGGGTCTTGAATAGTCTTCAGAAGCACTAGAAATGTAGGAAAATCGCACAATTCTTTCAAAATATCTCAAACTAAGAATTTCACTTTCATTTCTATATCTAGTCTCATAAAAAGATGAATCGTCATTTTAATTTTCAAACGCGGATAATTTTTGACACACATGTATTTGAAGGCTAAAAATTCGATGATGAGTTGTGAACAATATTACTTATAAGATAAATTTAAATAAAAGCTCGTTTCTGAGACTATGATACGATTGGTCAAACGGATTGCGAAACCTGTCCCTTTCATTAAAATGTTGAAAATCGAAATAGATAGTGTTCAGTTGTCTACCATTGGCTGATATATATGTTTAGTGCA